AAAGATGTCTAGTATAGAGCATGGTATCTTTGGACTCTCCAGTAAGATAAAAGCGAAGTTTCAACTTACCACCCTGTGCAGTATCTCGGTTTGCGTCTTCAGTACCACAGCCTCTTCCTCCTTACATATAAAGGAAGAGACAAAGAGACAACATTAATAAATAACTTTTGTTTCGCATCAAATAACAGCGGAAAATAACTTGTGCTTTTCTCCTATAATCAAATATTGCCTAAGCTGATGACCAAAGCAGTTTGATTTGTCAATGTCAAATTTAACACATTGAACGTCATTAGCAATGGGATTTCTAAAACAGACTACCACAAGGGAAACATACATGCTGAGCGCTAACCTTCGAAAGCATCCACTGCGTTCTTCAGCCCAGCGTTGAAAACCGCAGCCTTCAGAGTTTCTACGGAGGAGTCGCTCTTTCTGTCCCAGTACCACATGTTCAGCGCCAGCTCGCAGCGTCCCTTGTCGTCCGTGTGTTTTCTCTGTATCCAGGCGAGTTTCTGCGGAGAGATGCCGAGGAGCTCGGCCAGCAGCTTCCACTTTGGTCCTGCTCTGTCTATGATAACGAGGAAGAACTCTGCCGTATCTAGAACGAAAGACATCTCTCTTCAGTAAGTGCATGAAAAGACTCCTCGTTTACTTCCACAAGGGAATTAAATGTAGATTATAAAGAATGTAAAAGATGATTAGAGTTGTGACAAGATGACTAGAGTTGTGACAAACCATATATTTCGGGCCATCACTGGAGTCACATGTCCGTACGGTCACGTGGCTTATACGGGGTCATTCATCTTGACGAAGGCCGCATATCTATTTTCAGTTAGTCGTAGTTCTTTGTGTTGACTGAAATCACCTTGTTGAATGGCACCTTACCAGAGTCACTTGTCCGTAAGGCCACACGACTTCCAAAATGATAATAGACTGGTTTATTGAGCAAATGAGTCATTCCTCTTAAAGAAGTCATAATATGTTTGAAATTTTCCCCTGACCTTCGAACTGTCCGGACCCGTCTTCTCCGTCGATCCCGGTCAGTTCCGCGGTTTGCAGCGCGGCCCACAGTCGGCCGACAGTCGCGTCGTAACCTACAGGTCACAGGCAAGGTGGTCTTATGGTTAGGGCTGTGATTTGGAATCTGAAATTGCTGGGTTCGAATAGCTAGCAGGCCCCGATGTTGTGCCTTGGGAAATACGTATTTGCTCACTTCGCTTAGCTAGCTTCAGTTAGGGATGTGTTTCAGTATAGCCACACCTCGAGCACGTTAAAGATCCCACCACAGTTATCGAAAAGAGTAGGGGTCTTTCCCAGTGTGGGTGGTTCAAACCTTACGTCTAGTGTTATACAGCTCGTAGTACAAGTTGTGCATACTTTTCAAAACAGGTGTAATACGCGCCTCAAGGTGTGTGCGAAAGAAAGAAACCGTGAACATCCCAATGTGAGGGCCCAGGAATCAAACCTTTCATACAATCCGGTCGTACGCAGCTTGTATCTACTGTACAAAACTATATCTGAGGGCGGTTTACTTGTCACTTGTCAGTGTGAAACAAAAAAAAAAAACACGAACCGTGTTTCTGCCGCCATGTTGTCAACACCTCCATACAGCACTCCCGCATGTCGCGATGCTTGTCGTCGATCACGTCTATGTCCACTTCTTTAAACCCCAGTTGACGGGCGAGGTTCTTCCAGGCCGTGCCAACGTTCTCTTTGATGACGTATAACGGGTCCTTGTGTACGACTGCTGTATATAGATACGCGTATACGAGACAGAATTAGTATCGACAACGAACAACTTGCCCTGTAGCTATAGCCTGGGTGCTATCCGACATGGCACCCAGGCTATAGTGTACACAACAAGGGGACATATGATGTTATCTGAAAAATATTTTTCCTGCTAAGAAATGTACATTTTCTCTCCATTGCAATTTTATACTCCGTTGTATGTCATACAATTGTCGACTGTAGCTATTGCTCTCTCTCTCTCTCTTTCTCTCTCTCTCTCTCTGTGAACTAAATATGTACGAAAATGTTAACTAAAGGAAATATATAAAAGGTACAAAGAATCAGATACCTGTAGGCGGACGTTGGTAGGGTGTGTCACGCGTTCGTGTCTGGCGGACTGGGGCAGCCTGTGGCGTCCTCCGTCGCGCCTGGGCAGGAGCGGTAGCCGGTCGGGGATCACTTTGTGTTATCTGGGCAGATTCTGATGGAACAAGTCAAGTCAAAGTTTATTGCACAACGGTTGTACCAGGTACAATATATGGCAGACAATAAGATTACTAGCTGGTATGAGTGTATCAAGATTTTATATATAAGTTCAACGGGTATCATGTCTGGCAAAATGTTGAATAGAACTATAAGATCTAGTACACCTGTACACGTATGGTCTAAGCTACGCCATACTATAATTCTGAGTACAATGAGGAGTTGTATACATGCCATGCAAGTTCTATGAGTACTATACAGAGTGTCGACTAAATTACTGACTAAGATCTGTTACAATGCATTCTACATAATGCATGTAAACACGAGGAGCTACTGTAGGGTGATTGTAGTCACATGAGTATTGCAGTATTTTTGTGGTAAATTTTAGGGATAGAAGTCTTGTTTTTAACTCACCAATAAGTTCTGCCACGCTTCTCAACCGAGCCGAGATGAGCGCTTCCCTCAGCACCTCTGCCGTCGCCTGTCTCCCCTGGTCCCCCAGCCACATGTTGAGCGCCCGGCCGCAGCAGTCGCGCGGGTTGCCCCGGTACGTCTGTTCTGTGGAGGCGATGTCAGGCTCAGACAGGCCCAGTCTACGGGCGATCTCTTTCCACTCGTGACAGGCGTTTTCCACTACGATGTCAAAGTATCTGGCGACGCCTTTGAATGAAGACGTGAAATCATATTTTAGTGTTATATTAATAATATACTCTTGTTCGTGCTTGGTAACCATTTAATAGCCTTAATAGGCTTGACCTCACTATCAATCAAATGTCAAAACCACCTCCCACCATCCATGCTACCATCGCTACACACTATTTGACATGAAACACACACAGTCTCATAAATCAGCCACCCAAAACAGTATTTCCGTACCCGGAAGTAGAAAGGTTATTCACTTTCACTTTGCCTTTGGTAGGAATAGAAGCTCACAAAATCACATATTTTGAATCTAAACTTTCCCCGGTACTGTTTAAACATTGTGGAACTGGATTCTAAACAAAACAAAAGTAAATTTGCAGTAAAACACTAGACTTGTTATCACGAAATAACCCAACACTCTTACAGCAGATTGGCCCTTTGTACTTTTGACCCCCTATGGCAGTTAAGGGAAAGTTGAAAATGAAATCATTTTAATGCTTCAAATACTACATACGCACTCTATGAAACATTCATTTTATACACATATTGTAACTTAAAAAAAGAAATTGTGCTCACCAGTTGGTCTTTGGTTCATTAGTAAGTTACTAAGATGAGTGTTGCCTGTACGATCCAACGCTCTACAAAACGCCGAGAAGGCCCGGTCCCCTCTTGTTGGTAGAATGGTCAGTAGTGTCCGTATGCGGTCAGTTTGTATCCTTCTAGACCGAATATCTTCTTCTTCTTCCACTGAAAGTATCCTCTCCGTAATCAGTTGGTCAACGACTCCGGACACGTTGACTATACCGTTGACCAATTCCACCCGAAACCGCGTTAACAATTTTCTGTGCTGGTTATCCATAGCGACATAGCTTAGAAACTATGTCACTTTCTTAAACAAGTCGCCAGGTTAGAAATAGATCAAGAAATTGGTCGCTTGAAGCTCAAGTAATTGTCACCTACACTTTGGAAAAAAGTTCTCGTTGTTGAAAATATTACGACGAAAATCCAGGTGGGAAAATTGTGTTACCTTTTTGTACTTTCGCTGCAGTTTTCAAGATGGCGGACGCAGCAAATACGGAAGTTCAAAGTTCACAGCCTTAAGAACGTAAACAAAAGCAGATGCAGTGCTGCAGGGGCGTTTCGCTTTCTTGCCGGTTTGTATTATATCGAGGTGCGGACAAATAGGGCATTAAATGACCGTAATTTTATGGCAAATTATCTGTAATCTCAAGACGATGGCCGAAAAAAAGTGACTTCATTAACTTACATATATTGCTGGATTAGCTCTACCACATTAAGTACAAACGCATTGCAAATCACAAATGTACAGAAGTTGTTTATTTGAGCTTTTGTTTACTCAAGAAATACACAAATCGCCCTGCAGGCCACTTTTCATAAAGGTCATGAGGGAGAGATGTCAGGGTCAGACAAAAAGATACAGGTTACATGATAGGAGTCCTAAATAAACAAATCCATAAAGAAATAGTGAACATTTATATACTCCCTTGGGAAGGGCTGGGTTTACCATAAAGTTACCTGGAACAGCATTCTTTTTTTTAACCAATGTTAATCTTGGCACAGAAAAGTCTTGGTTCTGTACTGTACTGTAACATTTTTGTTGGTTTCATGGTAAGTGCTTTGCAGTGACCTTAGAAATCCTTACATTGCAAATAACAGGCTCTCTTGGCAACAGAACTTTAAATACTGCAAATGTCCTCTTTTTTTACTATAGTGAAATTTGGTCTCTTTGAACTTAAAAAGATTTACAATATTATCATCATTGCACTTTTAGCAATACTTAGTAGGGCATAAACAATTTAAGCTCTTCCAATGTATAATGCTATTTTAATGCATACGTAATGCTGGTGCAATTTTTGCATTGAAAATCTTTTTTGTGTGTGATTTTAATGTGTATATGTAGATATGCATGGGGGATTTTTTGCACAATGTCTAAATATTGACATTCTTGATGAAATATAAACTAATGTTAAGATATAATGATTATACCCTTTGCAGTCCTTATACAGATGTGGTCATTATCGCAGCTTTGACCATAATTTGGCCAGCACACACTTGGCTTTTTCCTAACACTTACACATCACAGTATCCAGCATATATTCTCTGCATGTGCAAAAACAGCTCTTTTTTTCCTTCTTGGTTATCATTTAAAAGACAAGGCGTCTTTCTGAAGTTCTTTCCTCCTTGTTTGTCCAGTCTTTCTTGTTATGTTTGGAAATAAATAGGACCAAAACAGTTTCCCCCATCTCTAGCCTTCTGTCTTCACTGAATTTGTGCCATTGCCTGAAAAAGCAAAGAAAGAGTATTAAAACTGGTGACATAATGTTTAAGAAATACAGATTGACACTAAGAATGTATTGTATATACTTGGCAGTCCAGTCTATTCTCTGCAGCCCAGAATTTTGAATAGTTTAAGTTACAGGCACTGCTACAGATACATGGGTATATAATATACATATACCCATGTATCTATATTCTATACATACCTATATCTATACATGTCTATCTATCTCTCTTGTATGGTATTGAGTCTACCACAATACTGCAAGTGTTAATCCATTAAAGATTTGCATGTGTTCTTAATAGCCTAGATTCTAGTCTTGTTCGCTTTATTATGGGTTCACCACACCACGAAGTGGTGTGGTGAAACCATATTGCTTTTTCTGATGTTTCTTCTTCTTCTTCTCCTCCTCCTCCTTCTCCTCCTGCCATATCTTTAAATGGATTCAGCTTCTTCATTTTAGGGCCTAAGGTCCTGAAATTTGGTATGGAGGTACAGTGGGCAAATACCCCTAGGCGTTTTTTAAATTATTGTGATACAGGCTTTTAGAATGGTTTTATTTGAGTTTTTTGGCTGTGTAATAGCTAATGTATCACTGTGTAAGTGTGCAGTGTTTACCACATTTGGACATGAGTCATCACAATGGCATGCAAGGCATCAACCAATAGGCATGCAGCTTTCCTCTATTCTCCTTGCTGATTGGCTGTTGGGATTTAACTGGCTTAACTTCATTTACACCTGCACAGAGCCATGCCATACTGACAGTATGTCTGTATTCAAGTGTTTTGGTAGGTATTTTAAGCTTTCCTGCTCCAGCATTGGAATGCGGGCTATGAACGCTTCTTTTTATCTTGAAAATCAACAGTTTGCATTATGCAATCCTAACCAATAATGTAGGGAATAGCTATCCAACTGTTGTAGTCTTAGTTGTATGTTACTTCATACTATAGTTATATCAATGTAAAGCATTGTTTTCCCTTGTGTTTCTCATTCTTTCCCTGCCATGTGGTAAAATGTGGTGAACCCATCGCTATATTTGCTCCAAAGCAAATATTGGCCTTTCTAGTTCTGTAATGAATTCATTGTTGGAAAAGTGAACTAAAGGTAAAAAAAAATGACTGGACTCCAGGCTAAGCTCTTTAAGACAAATTTCTTGTCATCTCAAAGAACTGAACCACTCTTCGACATGAAACCATTCCTCCCACCTCCGTTGTTAGTTTCTTCGATGGCGTCCTCCGGTAAGACACACTTCCAGAGTCCGTAAGTGGTGCCGACGTTGGTCTGCCACAGTCGCAGCGTGCCGTCCTCCGACCCGCTGGCGTACAACTCTCCGTCAGGAGAGAAACGGACGCAGTGGACCGGCCCGAAGTGACCCTTGTAGGATTCTATGGGAAGAGAATTGCATTTTCATCGTGACTTGTCGACATAACCTAGTATGGGTGAAATTCTACATTTGATATTGGTTAAATTTTTTAAAAAGCCATAACCAGCAGTGACAAGTTTTAATATCTAAAAAGAGGGAAGTTGAGAGGAAAGTCTTGAGTTTGAAGAATGATTTTTTTATAGTTTGATTTTGGATGTATATTTGATGTAAACTTGTACATGTATACATGTAAAACCATCATATGATTGCAACTTTGTTGACTTACTATAATACAATAATGCCAGATAATTTGACACCAACATACATTGTAGGTAGCATTTTGGTGTCATCATGGCATTTAAAACTAGACTTAAAAATCTAATACACTACAATCTTACCCAGTTCTGAGCCAGTTTCGTAGTCAAACTTGTAGAGTTTGAAGTCCTCTCCACCGATGACATAGGAGCCCTTGTCTTCGTTCAGTGAAGCAGAGTACACATGAGACGGTGTACTGTATGACTTCAGCTTCTCTAAACTGTAGGAAGTTCAGGGGAGAAATGTTAGGAGGAGACTTAGGGCTGCATGACAAAATGTAATATCAAGTACAGATACACCTAGATAGAGCTTAGCTTAGATAGAACAAATAGAGCCTAGTATGAGTATACAGTACTAAGTACTGATACATTACTGCAAAAATCCTGTAGGTACAGATCCAAAATTCCAGATTTAGACACCTAAAGCTATGTACTGGTACTGTATCTGAACTGACTTACACTCAAGTACTAGTATATTAACTCATTATTCATGTTTCTTCAAACAACCTCCTTTCCCTTCCTACTGTAAAATTAGTCTCCACAAAAATATGGAAATATACAGTAGGTATTGAGTCTATGGTATTCAGTGATCTACCACAAAATATCTGATCTGTATAGCCGGTATAACTGCCTTTCGGCGTAACACACCAGCTTTGCAGGCACAAGGCTCGGCGGCAGCTGGCTACATTACACCGATCGACTTGTTACACCTAACCCTTGAACATCTAACTCTAAATATTGTTTAAAGCTATCTACTGATAAAGCCCCTACTGTACTTGGTGACAGCGAGTTCCACTCTGTGATAGTTCTAGGAAAGAATGAATTCTTGAACACCTCAATCCTTGGTTGATAACTCCAGGTACTTTAAGGCATGGCTAAAATATCTTATACTCCCATTGTACATAGCCCGGAGTCTAGAAGTATTGTCCAGGAAAGACAGGTGATTTCTGTACCTGTCTGCGTTGAAGAAGCTGACAGTTCTCCCGTTGGTGACCACGAGGATGGATCCGTCCTTGGTAAGGGACATGTCCGTCACGATACTGTCAAACTCCAGCTTCTTCACCTCAGTTTGTGAGGCCACATCCCACATTCTGGGAAATATAAGACATACACAATATAGGTACAATGTACAATGTATCATGCCCTGACTCTGTATCTGTTTATCTAGGTTAATACATAATGCTATACAGAAGAGAAAACATGTCATGCTATCATAGCAATGTGAAATGTTCCATCATAACATATATATGTATTAAATGATGAAGTTAGATTAGTACAGTTACTTCTGTACCGTGAACTTATTATTACCGCTAACAAATGATTAATCTTTTGCCCCCCTTCCCTCTAGTACTTAGCAACATACATTGTATGATTGAAAGCCGAACTGTAATATATTAAAACATCTAACTTCTAATCTTCTTTTGTCATCCTCAAATGAGGTGAAGCATGATAATTAGGAGTAGCAACTACTAGTAGTACAATGCAGCTTTGCTATATACTATGTACTCAAGAGAATATACTTCAGTGTATCACAACATGAGAAAAACAAGCTACAATCACACCTGACTGTTTTGTCATCGCCACCGCTGACCAATCGTTTCCCATCAGGCAGAAACAGAGCATCCTTTACGTAGTTAGTGTGACCAGTGAACACCACAGGGTCTGCCTCTGGCTTGTTCAGGTCAAAAATCTTCAACAGTTTCTCGTTTCCTCCTGTTAACAGTTGGCTGCTGTCCTAAAGATAGGGGAGAGGCAAGGGATGGATCACTTATATACACAGCAGATGGACCCTAAGGTGGGGAGGATTCATTAACACATTTGGGGGATGGAGTGCTGTAAATATAGTGAAGTTTAAACATCATACATTTGTCGGTTACATCTGGGTATATTGTTATATGGATGGATGGATGGATGGATGGATGGATGGATGGATGGATGGATGGATGGATGGATGGTGGATGGATGGATGGATGGGTATATGGATGGATGGATGGATGGATGAATAGATGGGTATATGGATGGATGGATGGATGGATGAATAGATGGGTATATGGATG